AGCAACATTTTCACTGCGGTCCGAAAAACTTCTCGCTTTCCTGCCTGCTGCAAAACAAAGGGAGTTCCACGCTGCCGAGCTATGTTCATTCAATAAAGTTAATTTAATGTAATCAGACAAATCACTTCATTCAAATTGAAGATAAAAACATGACGACAGCCGAAGCTTCATTCGAAAACCTCAAAAGAAGCTTTGAATGCATTTTAAAATGTTCATTTCTTATTGATTTTATGTTGTATTTTTATGAAAATGCCCTCTTTCAATAACGGCCCTTTCATAATGACATGCTGCCCAATATTTCATGTCTCGTTTCAATTCCTAATCTATGCTTTTTGTGAGAGTGGTGTCGTCACCAGTGGGCTTTGAGTATATAATGCTGCTGTTGGTCCTGTGGGTTAGCACCTGTTTGGTTAATTCAGAGTCATCCCAGCAGTGTTTTACTTCTAAAGATGTTCCGTTAAAGAGACACAACTCTTTAAAGTGAACAAAGGATGCTCCTCCTCTGTTCTTCAGTCTTTACACAAGACTGGGTTGGCCTTTCAAATCACATTCAGCCCCAAAATCATGTGATTTGCATGTTTTAATGAACACATTTCAAATCCCTGTTTTCATCGTAAAGCTCTCATGTTTAGCCTGTAAATATTGGCCGGTGTTGAATATGTTCTAAGTGGCTTACTTTGGACTCCTGATGTGTTTAATGGGTTCACGTTCTACTTATTTAGGGCTGATGTTGCACTCGTTCTATCATTGAGCTGTTGAGTTGTTGGTCTCAGATCTGTTCAGTGACGTCATGTCAGGCTTTAACGAGGCTGCTGCTTATTAGAACGTTGACTGGTGCATCTGACACGTTTAATCCCGATATTATACTGTCAATAGTGTTCAGTTACTGCACGCCTCACTCAGGACACACAGCTGGCTCTGAGGTAAATGGAGCAGCGATTGAGAGGCTTTTATTGACTTTCATAAGCATGCTTTTTCCTTTCGAGCTCATCTGTTTTCCTCGAGTGTGCGCAGTTGAAAGCTTGTTATTTTGGAATTGCTTCAGCTACAGAGTGTTAATATGGACATTTATTTTAAGCATTAATTGGAGAAATGATGAACACGTTTCCATAAAGACCTTTTTTTTGTTTTTGAGAAATCTATGCACAGTTTGTGAAACGCCAACAGTTTTACATTTGTAATGCGTTCGCAACAGCATCACATCACAGCACCGTCTCTTAACGAGAACCAACTCTGATTGTGGCAGCAGCAGCGCATCACTCTGATTCTCTGCTTCTAGTTCCTGTCCGTTAGTCTGTGACTCTTGTGCTTTATCTACTGAAATGCTCATATCGTCTACTCTATATGGTCCCCGTGATACAGAACCATGAGCTCTGGCCACCCAGTCTCCTGTCCTTTGATTCCATCTGCTGGCTGATTGTAGAATTTGAGCTTGTGATTAGATGTCGCCACACCAGGACATCCATTAGTTTGGCTAAAGAGACATTGTTTTATCTGTTCAAAACCAAGGCAGCATACTATATCAGTTTTTACTGCAATATGAAGAAGGTAAACATGTAATACTTCAGTTTTTATTATTATTATGAATATATAAAGCTTCAGCAGAGATTTTTCTCACCCACCAGGCGTCAATTTCAGTATTTTTATACATCCACCATTTTGATCGTAGAAAGGGTTGAGTAAGTCCTCTTGCGTTTTTTTTTCGTCACCGAAGTGTTTATTTTTAACTCGACACCTAAAATAGAAGCTTTTTTTATCTTCTTTATTTCCACGGAGAGAATCCGTTTGATCTGAAATATTTGCATGACCGTGTTGTGGAAAGCGTAGTGACTTGCACCGCTCCGTACATAATTGGAGTGCCAGCTTTTAACTGTGAATTAATATTTATAAATTAGCATGCTTCTTAACCTTTTAACGAGTGTATTACAGATATGGCATTTTAGCGTGATTTCAAAAGCAAAACTACAAAGGAATTCATCTTTTTATTATGAAATCTTTTCATGTAGCAATCTTACTATTGAGCTGTATAAAGACATGTCTATGAGCTATTTATGCAAATCAACACATATGCACGTTAACGCTGGTGTGTGTGTGTGTGTGTGTGTCATCTGGGGCTTTTGTACAGTCCTGCCTCTACCCATTAGTCATCCATAACATGAGATCAGTTTGCACTCTGATAACACTATTACTGGTTATAATCAGTTCTGTCTTGGTGACATCAGAAGCATTGAACTGGGCTTAAACTTCTGTTGGTCACTGGAAGTTGATTTCCCCTTGTGGGTCCTGTTGCTGCAGGATGGCAGTCGCCAAAATCGTCCAACCAAAGAGTTTCCTGTGAGTGTGTGTGTGTAGCTTCATGTTTAATCCTCTCGGTTTGTTTGTTGCATTGTTAGTTCTTTTAAAGTTCCTGTTCACACTGACTTTATGTATGTATCATTTTTGGATTAGTAACTAGACAGCCATAGAGGTATGGAGATCACCTACTAATGAAGACTGGCTGTGATTGTCATCATTTACTTCAGTTCATAGTAGGAATTCACATTTCCTGACATACACTCAGTCAGCGTCGGAAATACACGAGGGCAAAGGGCAAAACTGCCCCTAAGAAATATAATTTTGCCCCTGATATCACTAGGAGAGGGGCAAAAAATGCCCCCATAATTTCCTCTAATTATGATAATTTAATGAACTTGTCAAAAACATCGTAGCCTATATGACCCGGTCCAGTTGCCATAGAATGTTTTTGATTTTCGCCTTGACTGATGTTGCGTGTGCGTGAAGAACCGAACGTTCTAAAGAAATAAATAAATGGAGCGCTTCTTCATCACACCTGTGACTGCGAGACTGCGGTCAACTCAGCAGACACTTACATGCTAGTGCACCTATATGCTGACATTCACGGTAAACGCATTCAAACGGCACAGATCGGGAGCGAGCGAAGGACTTTGAAAGTTAGCGGAAAGATTAACGTGAGACAACATCCGGTTTCTTCAGACGAACATCCGGTTTTCAGAATAAGATGCCAACAAAGTATACATATTGCATAATGGAAATGAGATTAAATGAATTATATTCACATTAAGTATAAAACAGGGAAAATACACCTAAATTGTGCGTAAAGTGTCTTTATTCTTTGATTTGAGGGTTGCTAATGAATAATACCTGACTGACAGTCAATTAAGATATTTTACGAAGCAAAAACTCTGAACTGAATTTGTACCTTCAAATGGCACATTTTTTTTAATTTTTAAGGTGCTATAAAAATGTTTTTCTCAAAAATTCCACACAATGACTAATGCATATATGTTCAGGACAAAAATGGGTAATATCACAATATTTGAGGTGCTACAAAAATATTTTTCTCAATAATTCCATACAATGACTGATGACTTAATAATTAATAGTTGTTTAAAAAAATTAATAATAACAATAACTAACCACAAAGAAATGAGAATAAAATTGAAAATTGTTTGTTTTTTGTTCAAAAAATCTAAGAAAACACTTTGAATCTGTAGACTACTGCCTAATAGTCTAATTATTGCCATTTGATGACAATTGCTCATATACTGTAAGCCTAAATAAGTATATTTATTATTTTGAACAAAGGTTAAATGTTATTTCACAAGTTTCAAAAAGTGCCCCCAATGTTTTTTAAATGCCCCTGGATTTCAGTCAGTGGGGGCAAAAAAATTCCCCCTAAAAAATATGTCGATTTCCTACCCTGCACTCAGTATGAAGGCAAATCACTGTCAAAAGCCGAGAGCACAAATGAGATCCACTTGCGCACGCAAATCAAACCGCTGCGTGCGTATTTTACTTTGACGAGCGCTTTTACATCACTTTGCGAGCGAAAGTCACTCGCGAAACTTTAACCTGCTCGCTTGCTATTATTAACTGTTTGCCCAACTTTAATCACTGACAAGTAATTAGTGGATGAAAAAGCATTCAGATCCTTCACTGCAGTAAACGTACTAATACCATACTGATGAAACAATCCACTACGAGTAAAATACCTGCATTCAAAACCTTAGTCAAGTATGTTACAATCAGCAAAATGTACTTTAAGTGCAGAAAGTAAAAGTACCCGTGCAGTAAAATGTACATTATTTGCACCTGACCTAGTAGTGCATGTCCCACTAGCGTCTGTGTCAGAGTGATATCCGGTCTATCCAAAGACGAGGATTGTAACCAATTAGATGTAGAGATACAATGGAGACTGGGTCCGCCCACTTACTGTCAAAAAGAAAAAGAGAGGGAATTTTGCTCGCGCGAGAGGGAATTTTAGGCCATAAATATGAGAGGAAACCAGTCTGCCTTCAACTACAATTTTTGGTTGTTCTATAATGTGAGCCGGAGCCAAACTGTCATAAACAATGGATGCTTTGAACGGGCACATCCAGTATCTGAAGAGCTAGCAGCCGTCTCCTCATCTCCTGCTGCCAGGCTTACCTCTATGTTGTCAAAGAGTATTTGATTAAAGAGGGCACTGACTGACTCGAGGACTGCAAGTGATCACTTTCATTCTGGTCTTTTAGATCTGTTTAATTACATTTTGTGAATTTTACCTTTCTTACTTGTGTACATAACCACATGTGGGTGAGGAATATTTGTTAAATAACTGGCAACAATGAGCAGAACACGCCTCACTTAGCCGACTGCTTTTCTTATGTGACTGGCTCCTGGAACACTTAAGAAATGTCCTGTTTTGTAGTTTTTTTCTGTTCTGAACATTTGTCTGGAAGCTGCTCCTGCTGTCTACTCTATACGTGTAGAAGAATATCTTCTATACTACTTCTTACCCATTACAAAAGACAGATTTTGTTTCTTACTTGAACGGTTATTCTTTGCATCTTTCTGTCACACATCCACAGCATTGATGATATGACCGTTCCAAGTCTAAATGAGGATAAACGGCTTGGAAGACACAATGATATTACAGCTCATTTTACATACACCTAAAGTTCACTCACAACGTTCCCTCTCCTCTGCATTCCTTTCAGTTCTACAAGCATGTCGTCCAGAGCGTGGAGAAGTTCATTCTAAAGGTGAGCTCTACTTTAAACCAGGATCGTCTGTAAATACAAAACATAAAACTTAAGTTTGAGAGTTAAAACACACTCGATGTACAAACCTTTTCAGGACATTTGCACAATTCATTAAGTGTGATGATTTGGTGAATTCATATATTCAGTGTGAGTGCATTGTTCAGAGTCAGTTTCACATATTCCTTGTGATCTACCGGTACTTGAAGTGTAGCGCTGTAAATAGGTAGATTCATCACTTCAGTAACGCATAGAAGGCCCCACACAGTAAATTCATTGTTTCACCGTTTTTAAAGTATCCTAACAGCAGCTGTCCGTTTCTGTATCCGCAGTGCAAACCAGAGTACAAGGTCCCCGGGCTGTATGTCGTCGACTCCATCGTCAGGCAGTCGCGGCACCAGTTTGGCACGGAGAAGGATGTCTTTGCCCCGCGCTTCAGCAAGAACATCATCGCAACGTTCCAGCAGCTCTACCGCTGCCCATCAGATGATAAGGTCAGACCCTTTTTCTTTAAATAGGTTCTCTATGTTCCTCTCTGGCTTCTGAGGCTTGTCCTGCTCCCATTAGAGATGATACTAGACCCCTTTGATATATGCCACAGTTTTACAGAAACCAGTGCTTTGAGCAATAGATGAGTGACTGGCAACGGCCTCACTCTATTTCATTATTGCCACCAGAGACTTGTGTTGGCAGATACATTTTGTTTTTAGGTAAAATGCACTAATTGCTGAATTCAGAGTTATTTTCCTTCCTCTGTTCATGCGATGGACTGAGGCTGGGAGGCGGGGTTAAAGGAAACACTAGTGCGCTTGCTCTATAGGCCCCATGGATGCGGAAGATTCGCAGAAGTCAAACTTTTTTAGCTTCACTGAGCAACTTTGTATCCAGTTCTCTTTATAAATTGTTTATGTGTAGTGATTTCACCGTTATGTCAACGCTGCCTTTTCCATCTTTTATCTCTCTGTTTTCAGAGTAAGATAGTGCGAGTCCTGAACCTGTGGCAAAAGAACGCCGTCTTCAAGAGTGACATCATCCAGCCTCTGTTGGACATGGCGGCGGGGATCCCCCCTCCCAGCATCACACCTGTCATGTCCAGCAGTGCTGCTCCAGTCAATAACGCCACACCTGGTCAGTCAAAAGGGCACACACAACCATACACTGATGATGTAATCAGACAGCTTGTTTGACACAACTCTGTGTCCAGGTACCCCGGCTACCCCCGCTACCCCAGCTAACATAGTCCAGGGTCTGCCGGATTGGGCTTCCCAGATTACCAACACAGACACTGTGGCTGCCGTTGCACAGATCCTACAGAGTCCCCAGGGACAACAGGTCAGTGAGCATGCAAACCCATCATCTAGCCTACATATAGCCTCTGCAGTTTGTGTAGCTGTTGGTGTTCTAAACGTGTCAAATACTCCGTGTGATCACCTGTTGTAGCTGCAGCAGCTGGTGCAGAGTCTACAGATGCAGCAGCAGAAGCCCCAGCCGTCCCTGCTGCAGGCCTTGGACGCTGGCCTGGTGGTACAGTTGCAAGCTCTGACGGCTCAACTCACCGCCGCCGCTACTGCCAACAGCCTCAACCCCCTGGAGCAGAGGGTGTCCTCTTTTAATAAGGTAACGCCGCAGTCGGCAAGTAAAAGTTTCTTATCCCGTGTGTCAACTGCTGCCTCTTCATGTGATTATGTGGTGTGTGTTCCTTGCAGAAGCTTCTGGGTCCTTTTGATTTTGGGAATGATTCTGAACGCGGTGAAGAGTCTAAAAAGGACTCCTCATCATCTCAGTTGTAAGTTTCAGTGTGTTTTCTGATAAGGGTATTATTTCTCTTAATAATGACCATTGATCTAATTGAGCTGTTGACCACTTCCAGGCCAATGGTGTCAGAGCCCATCAACAGCTCCCTCTTCCATCAGCTGGCGGAGCAGCTACAGCAGCAGAACCTGGAACAGTTTCAGAAGCAGCTTTTAGAGCATCAGCAGAAGGTACACACACACACACACAGACACAGACACAGATCATTGTTTCCCAAACAAAGTTTTTTCAGGAACTTTACAGGGTTTAACAGATACATGTTTTTCTCACCCAAGTTGCACTGTATTACTGTACCGGATAGTAAATACCCTGAAATGCTTCACAAAGGAAATAATGTTTCTGGTGTGCAAATAGATGACATAAATATCTGCAGTGAGATCAACTCCTATAACGTTGCCGGCACATTCAGTAGGCTTAAACTTGAGCAGAAGGGCCGGCACTAATACAGCCACTGACATATATGTAATAACTTCTCATCCCCACTACAATACCGTAAGACTTGCAAGGGTTCTGCTCCTCAAAAATGTAAAAATGAAATAGTTGAGATTATGGATATATATGTCTGGTTTTGCTTGTTTAGATGCCTTGTTAATAAATGACACATGATGGGTATACTGCTTTTTATTCCTCCCAGGCAATGAGCATAGAAGGGCAGGACTCAATCTTCGGCCACGAAAACTCAGTTGCATCTGCTCAGAGCAGCAGCCAGCCACAGCTTCCTGAGCTAGATAACAAGCTGGATGACACCATAGATAACCAACAGCAGGTATGCCTGGCCACTGGGCCATTACCAAAGCTTGGAAATCATATTTATTGATACCGTGGTATCTTAGAATATTTACTGCAGTTTTATATTACCGTGTATGTAATGACCCTGTCTGTTTTTTAGGACATGGATCTGGACGAGGGCCCAGATGGTATGGAGGAGGAGATCTTTGAGGCAGAAGACAAGAAGATCGCAAGCACACGTTCCCGAACACGCTCACGGTCGCGCTCTAGGTCAGTTCCACTTATTTCTTCTTCTTTTTTTAAAAATGTGCTTGTAGTATCGCTGAATTGTCTGTTGATTAAGTTGAATAAGCTATGATCTTTCAACCTCTTTAGAAAACTGCTCCTTCTTGCCCTGAAAGACAGATGCAAATGCAACAGGCCTGTGGATGTGATAACATGAAAGGTTTTGGGTGTTTTCCTCTCTGTAGGTCTCCAAAGAGGAGACGGTCTAGGTCCCGCTCCGGCTCACGGAAACGTAAACACCGCAAGCGGTCCCGCTCACGCTCCAGAGACCGCAAGAGGAAGTCGTCGCGGTCTTACTCGAGTGAGAGACGCGCCCGAGAGCGAGAGAAGGAGCGGCAGAAGAAAGGACTGCCTCCCATACGATCCAAGACTCTAAGTGGTAAGTTAGAAGTTACTGAGACTGTTACTGCATCAGAAATATGTTCATAGTGGTTTGCTGTCGGTGATTTTTCTGACGAGTATAAATGTTTCCCCCTCTCACCTGTACCTAGTGTGCAGCACGACTCTGTGGGTCGGCCAGGTGGACAAAAAGGCCACTCAGCAAGACCTCACCAACTTATTTGAAGAGTTTGGCCAGATTGAGTCAATCAATGTAAGTATGATATCGTCATATGAACTTAAATTTGTCATTACCATATAGTTACATTAAACTGCTTCTCTGCAATATTTCATCATCATTCGTCATTCCTCAATGCTAGACATTTGCACCCTCTCCTTTTTAAACATGTTCACATTGCTGTGTGTGTGTGTGTGTGTGTGCTCGCATGTTCCTTCAGATGATCCCTCCCAGAGGCTGTGCCTACATCTGTATGGTCCACAGACAGGATGCGTACCGCTCCCGCCTGAAGCTCAGCACTGGCTCCTTCAAGATTGGCTCCAAAATCATAAAGGTAAACATCACCTTTTTATATTTTAATTGGTTGTATTCTCATTCTCCTTGCAATTTCTTCTGCTGTAGTTTTCCCATCAGCCCCCCTACAGGAGGAACGTCAGAGACAGTTTATTTCTCCAGGCACGTGGATCCTTTATAAAAATGCTGTTTCCTGACCTTCTCGTGTGTGTGTGTGTGTGTGTGTGTCTGATCCAGATTGCATGGGCTCTGAACAAGGGGGTAAAGCAGGAGTACAAGCAGTTTTGGGACGTAGACTTGGGCGTCACCTACATACCTTGGGAGAAGGTGAAGCTGGACGACCTGGACGACTTTGCCGAGGGAGGAATCATTGACCAGGAGACCGTTAATGATGGTGAACAGAATCCATTAACTTATTAACTTATTTCAGACAAACACTATGTCTGTTGACTCGCTAGCAGTGCTTGTGCAGATATAAGTAGGACTTGCAGGTTTGTACACACATGAAGAAAGCATGACAAAGATTGTAAAAAGAAGAAGACTTTTTTTTTTTTTTTGAGTTGCAAAGTTTACAGCTAAACTCCCTAAATCCAAACAAAGAATTGGATGATGGTTGATAGCTTTGTTTGTTTGTTTCTGCAGAGTGGGAAGCAACCAAGAATGCTGAGCCAGCTAAGGAAGTTACAAGTCAGCCATTAATAGCTGAGCCTCCAGCAGCATCTAACACCCAGCCTGAGACCTACAGCCAGCAGGTCACCATGATGCCTGTACAGGTACCGTCTGTCTGCACAGTACACTGTCTTGATTTTCTTGTTTGTAAAAAGAGCAGAACAGTTTCAACAGATTTGAACCCTGCTCTACGTCGAAAGTGCTTTATTTTTCTATTTTGCAATAAGTAGGACTATCTTGATCTAGACATCCAGAGAGCAGTTGTTGACTTTGATGACCATGATCGTATCTGTCTCATCCAGCTCCCAGTGGTCCAGGCTGTTCCCAGTGCAGTAGGTTTGGTGCCTCCTTCCTTCCCCGTCACCATGGGCATACCCCCACCAGGCTACGGGCCGCCGCCACCCTTCATACGGGCCGGCTTCAACGCCTCACAGCCTCCGCCAGGTAAATGACGCTCATATGAAGAATCGCATGAATAATGAATCTGACCTACAGAACGCTGACACGTTTTCTACTGTGTAGGTTTCATGCAGGCAGCACAGACGGCAGCTATGGTCTCAGCAGCCAATTGTGAGTTTTTATGACATGCTACCCTGGTAACTAAAATACGCATATAGTTTTGAAAATGTACAACGTGTCCTTTCAATGCTTTTTGATTGATATTTTTTTGGCTTGGATTCACTTTGTGGTTTTCTCCTGTACCCACCTGTAGCGCTAGTCCAGCCTTCAGTGGCAACCAACCAAGAGGGCGTCAAGGAGTCACCATTCGGTGTGATGATTCCTCCGACCGGCACTCTCCCTGGCGGCTTCATGGCCGGTGTGTTCAACCCAGTGGGAGTCCACACTCAGCAGGCCACCAATGACAAAACATCACAGTCTGCAGATGGTATGGATGCTGTGGCAGAGCTAACACTGCAAGGTGAGACAAAGCCAACATGTCCCTGCATGAAAGAGACTTTGTTTTTAGAGTGTTTGTATTTGGGTTTATAAAGGTTATTTGTGTTAAGCTGATTTTAACATGTATTTCTTTCACTGTGTTTTGTCACCCAGGCATGCAGAATGCAGTCCGCAGTGGGATGGGTCTCCTTGGAATGCACCCCACAGCATCGCTCACCCACCAGCTGCATCAGTCTGGTCTGACTGGTCAGAGGATGCCTGGCCTGCTGCCTCTGGATGTGCGACCTAACCTCCTCCAACCTGGGGCTGCCATCCGCTTCCCTCTACTCATGCAGCAGGGCGTCCAGCAGGCCGCTGGCCTCCTTGAGAGTTCCCTCCAGGCTCAGGCCCGTGCCCGGGGTCCCTTCTCTCAGTTGGACCCCTTCAACAGGGCTCCCAACCTGAACAATGAAAATGTGTCCAAGACAGAAGACGAGTCTTCCTCTGGAGCCGACGAGGGCAAAGATCAGGACTACCGCTTCCCTCCAATGGAAAAGCTGAGCACAGGCCTGCTGAGGACCCCTCCGCCAGAGCAGAGGGAGCCTCATGGAGGTGGCGGCGGAGCAGCAGCAGCAGGAGGTGGTGGAGGAGGCGGCAGGCCTCCCCTGCTCCAGACCCCAGGGACTCAGCCAGGCAGAACTAGCCTAGTGGGACGTCTGCAAGCTCTTGCAGGCTTCACTCCTGATAACCGCTGGAACCAAACCAGAGGGGACTTTGACGAACGAGATGGCATGCGAGGAGGCCTACAGGCCCCTGGTGGTCCAAAAGGGTTCCAGGAAGAGCGGTCCACACCCGGGCAGAACTTCCCCAACCGCTTTGAAAGCCGCCCTGGGACAGCAGCAGGAGGAGCAGCAGCAGCTGGAGTTTCGGGCAATGCTGGGGCTGTTGGGGGGTCACAGGCCTGGAACCGCAGTGGTGGTGGTGGTGCCGCCGCAGCACCTTTTGACAGCGAACTACATCAAGACCTAGACGATCGAAGACGCCCGTGGGACAGGCAAAGAGACAGAGATGAAAGAGATTTTGACTTCAGGAGGGAGATGAACGGCAACCGCCACAGCAGAGAGAGAGAGCGAGATCGGGACCGCGAAAGAGATAGAGACCGGGAGCGAGGCAGAGACCGCCCCAGAGAGCATGAGCGCGACCGAGACCGCGACAAAGAGAGAGACCGCGAGAGAGAGCGTGAACGTGGGGGCTGGACACCACTTCTCCCTCTGCCTACACCTCTGCTTCCGACTCCAACTCTCAATCCCAACCTGACCCTGAACCAAGGCAAACTGCTCGCGCCACTCAAACTGAACCCCCAGATTCTGCCACGGTTCCAGTCCCCACTCTTGCCCCAAGCTCAGGGGAAACCATCCCTCTTGGGTCTGAATCAGCCGCCGCCTCAAGTTCAGACTAAGTCTCCAACTCCATCCCAGAGCCAAGCAGCTGTGCCTGAGCACCAGTCAGAACCCCCAGCTCCGTCTGAGACATGTAGGGCACAGTCACCACCCTTAGCCCAATCACCCGAGCAGTCACCTGACAAAGGGCAAAGCCCGTTGACTGAGGCTCCCAACCAGGCCGAGTCATCGCCACAGCCTGAGACCCCCCCACAAATAGAATCGCCATCCCAGCCCAAGACTCAGTCCCCGGCCAATTCCCCGGCCCAGTCCCTGTCCCAATCCAAAACCACTGCTTCTCCAGACACTGAGACCCCAAGCCAAGCCTCGCCGCTGGTTGAGGCCTCATCCCAAGACTCACCCGTGGCCTTCACACAAGCTGCCAGCCCCCCAGAAGAGACTCACTCTCTGGAGGAGCAGGAAAGCCCGAGGAAGGATGAGGAGGAGTCACAAGAGAGAGCGTCCTCACCCCAACCCCAGTGGGTCAATGGAGCTGGGACGGACAATAACACTGTGGCTGAATCTACGCCCGAGACCTCTCCTGGGAGCTCTCCGGAGCCCACCGAAGAACCCTCTCCCAACTCCGTGCTCCCCGAAAGTGAACCGGAGCAGCTCGCCTCTCCTGAGGACGTAGACAATGAACAGAGTGAGCCCATGGAGGAAGCTGCGAGTCAGCCAGTGGTAGACACTGTCACAGACACTGAGGGGACATAATCATCACTCAGTAGGTAAACGATCATTTTGTAAAGTTGTCTCTTCTTCTCTGTACTCATGTCAGCAAACCACCACACGGGACATGCCGAATACTGACTCACAATCAGTTATTGTCTTATAACCAATAACAAATGATTTTATCTCTCACAAATACCAGTGTACTTAAATAGAAAGCTTGTTAGCTGAATTATTGATAGACAATTTTGTTTGTGTTTTTATTTACTTCTTTTTTTTTAAGTTGTAATGCCACCCCCACCCGTTTTTAATTAATCTAAGCGTGGCGAATTTTACTCAATAGCCGACCAAAATGTTTCAATTGTACATGGGGGGGGGGGGGGGTGGCGTGAGCGCTTTGACCTTCCTATGGAAGAGAGTAACACATCCTGGCTGGTCGACAATGGATTGAATACAGATGCACACAATACTTAAAAAAAAAAAAAAAGGTAGTTTCTGGTCCAATTTCTGTCTCCTCTTCTTTTAAAATGCTGCTGCAAAGTTTTCAGTGAATGCTTTTGTGGTGTCCTGCTTTCTGTCTCTACGCAGAAATGAAATAGCCTGCATACAGTGAGACAACTACAGCTGCTTATAATTGGAAAAAATGAACATTTAAAAAAAAAAAAAAAAAAAATTAAAACATGACTATGTTGTATCCCCCTAAAATAAATGTCTGTAATTTGTTTCCAATTATGCAGTGAACACAAACACACAATTACATGCCGGGGGGGGAGAGACAGTGAAAGAACAGAGGGATATTCTCATGTCGGGTGCATTTTGTTTTAGTTTTAAATAAACATGCTTTGTCTGTTTTTAAAAAAAAAAAACACATGCTTTAGGACTGTTTTCTGACCCAGGACCAGTGGAAACTAAGACTGCTTTACAGGCTCTCGTACACAGTGTGTGCTGTCACTTCAGTCAAAATTTGATGTTCTCGCAACTCAAGTTGCTGCTGTACCATCCATCCACAGAGCACTCTGTTGGATGCAACCGTGGGACTTGTAGTTTTTTAGTTTCTGATGACTTCAGCCTGTATGTTTCCCCCTAAGCTTTTCGCTGGGTGACTGTTGAGGATGGGATTGTGCCTTTTTTTTGAATGGATTTAGTCGTTCATGACGCTACCCGAACACTACTGTGTGACGCACACACCAGACGTGTGCGTGCGACTCTGTTTTCAGACAGCTCTATGAACACAATGCTACCTGCACAGAATTTGACTGGCCTGCAGTTTGAATGGTCGCTTTGGCGCTTTGTACAGCACTCACCTAGAGGAGAACACGTCTCTGTACTCCCATCGTTCTGTGCATGCAGGCCTGTAGCCATGTTTTAACCTTCCTGTGTCTCCTTTTGTCATTTCATACTTGTAGTGCTTTTCTGTTGAGACATACTACTAGAAATCCATAGTCTGCTGTTCTCTCCAGACCAAAATGTCTACTACAGGAGTTGTGATGTTGAATAAAAGTTAAAGGTGCATCAGATTTTTTTACCCCTGTTATTGTCATGAATCCTGACTCAGGCCGATAAGAGGACTTCTTGCGCACACACATCAACCCTGCAGCTCCGAACTGAGATAACGGAACCATGTTAGTAGTTTAAACCAACGAAAACGTAAAGAGGTGATGGGACATGCATATCTAGTATACCAGGTTGTGTATTGAGATTATGAAACATCTAGACCAAGGGTCACTGTGGTCCGGGTCCTGACCCAGACGCTGTTGTATCTGGACCGATAGATAATTGAGAATTACAAAATTTTGACAGGAGCACGTCATTTTTAACTGGCGCAGCTTTTCCAGCCTTTACGGCACTCGATCAGCGGTCCAGGAAACACACCGACCAATTGCATGCGTTGTACATCGCATCACGTGACGCTTCTCGGACAATCAAACGTGTGTATTCCGATTAGCATCGCGGCTTCAGTGAGATCATACACACACACTGGAAAGACGTGGGAGAGAGACCGAATAGTTGAAGTACGTGAGTCACAGAAGTTATTTCTCATGGCGTGCTCCGAAAAGAGAAAAGTGGACAACGAGACCAGAGCCTTTAACCAAGAATGGACAGTGGAAATCTTGTTTGTTCATTCTTCCCACGTCGGTTCAAAACCAGTACGTCTCGTATGTTCAGAGGCCGTGGCGGTTATTAAAAGCGGCAATATGAAGCGCCCCTACGAGACAAAGCACAACTCTTTTGAGCAAACGTACCCACTCGCATCTGAAATAAAGGCACAGAAGAAACAAAACAATCTAAGAGTCCAATATGATCAGAATCCTAACATTCATAACGATGCTGCTAACAGAGAGGAATAGAGCTGCTTTTAATAACCACAGACCACCTGCAAACAAACGTCTCTTATTAGAAGATGAGAAGAATATAATAATATGGCTTCTTTGGTTTACATCACTTTACACCTGGAAGAATTTAATTTAAAGCGGCAGGGCAATTCAGTTAATTTTTCTAAAATGAATTACTTTATTTTAAGATAAACATTTTTCAAAAGCTTTTTGTTACTTTTTTTTTAACGCAGCCCTGATTCTACTTGAAATGAGAGATAATTCATTTATTATAGAGTATGTGTTGTTTACATATTGTTGATATATTATCAAATTTAACTTTATTGATTTGATTTGACAGTGAGTTGTTGCTGCTAGGCTACTTCAATATACATTGAACTAAATCAGAGCAAAAGTTCAACATTATTGTGATGTTCCGGACCTTCGCCTGAGGCAATTCTCTATAACCGGACCTCGTTTAAGTTTAACTGAATACCCCTGAACTAGACTGTAGCCACTAACTTTGTTTTAGTTTATTAGTTAGAGGCCAGCAATAAATAAATAAAAACATCCTGAGAACAAACTCCCATGGGACCTGAGATGCTGAACCACGGTCAATACCACTGTCGAAACACTGCAATGCACTTTACTCCACACCTAGCAATAAAGGTGTAGACGACTACCAAATGCCCTGAATCAAAGTGCGGCTTCCTATATTACTGTGACCTTATACATCAGCCATCTGGCACCGGCCTCGACTGAACAAAAGGGTAGGGAGGGAATATGCAAATGAGGGAGATGAGGAGGAAGTAGGAGGAGATGCTGGTTTGCTCCTTTAACCCCCCCTCGGCCCTCCACCCTCCACTGCCAGAGACCCGGAGGAAGTGCTTACACAGCACAGAGCTCTTCTCCATGCTCATTTATGGCCCAGCTAGTGTCAAGAAGCACGAGCTGGAGGATTTATTTAAACAGTTGGCTACATCACGGTGCCCGTTTTAGCGCTTGTTATTTTTAAAGAGGTAAAAAACAATGGGAGAGGAGCAGCGCAATGTGCTGCATAATGCCTTCACCTCCAATTACACCCCCAGTTTACCCTGCTAATCCAAACGGTAAATGTAATGTCATAGTCTGGCTCTGGATTTTGTATCTGGAGACCTGTGCGGGGATAAAGCCGGGCTCAAAATAGCCAGTGGTCGTGTCTCAGTCTGTACATGTCTAGCTCCCACCTGCTGGCTCCCGAAGGCAGCCGGGGTCGAGCCTCCCGCTGACCTCCCCGCGGAGAGATTTGACAGGCTGAGACTTTGAATCAACCACTATCTGCCCTGAAACAGACATTTACACAGCAGTTGGCAAGCTCTCCCTTGGACAGCAATAGAAAAATAAATCCTCCCTCTCCGGAGCGCCAGTTAATTATCTGTGGCACAAATAAAGGACACGTAAACTAACGTGGATTGGGGTCCGATTCGGTGCATGTCTTCCGCTGCACTCCTAACGATAAAACCAGTACAACCAACAGAATCACTCTCGAGTCTAGTGGCGCTCCTGTTCCGAACCATTTCGCACATCATTGCAGCGTTATGCGCCATGTGAAGCCAAAGCAAAACCCGTGGGAACAAAGCAAAGCGGGGCCTGACCTTTAGACAGGCGACTAATGAGAGCGCCTGAACCATAATGGTATGGAGTAATAACACGCTGCTGGTTCACGCCCATGTGGTAGCGCTAATGTGTGCTTATTGCTGTAGGTTGGAGACAGAGAAGGTCCCTGCCGTGAGGGAGGTCAATTAGACAGGATGATGAAGGTTAACATCCAGCTTGTAAATACGTTTTAATATGACGTGTGGAAATCATTAAATGCCCGCGTCCGATATTTCTCTCCAACTTCAAGGCATAATTGACTCTATAAGGAGCCTTTTAATTAGTTTTTTGCTGTGTAAAAGACCGGTGGTGCATTTCCACAACAGCTATTGTTCTCCTGTTGCCATTAAAAGGACCACAGTCGGCGTTTGTGTGGTGTCAGTAGTACCGCGTGTGACCATTTGAGGTCAGTGTGGTACTGCAGCTCTCGCCGTCCAGTGGCAGACTGGCTTCTTGGAGTGCGACAGCTCAAAAAATCTGCAGTGCTCACCTCTCTTATACCTTTCTGTGCTTCAACCCTCGCTGAGAGCAATACAAAAGCCCACCAGTGCCACGGTGAAGTATGCAACAACACATGAAATTCCCTCCCTTTGAAAAACGACAACGGGCACAGCGTCGGGACGCGAGCGTATAGGAAATGTGCTGCCGTGCAGAATATTCACGCTGCCACCGTGCTGACATATTTTCATCAGATAACCGCTTTCCATGCCTTCTCTCAGATCGATACAGAGGGCGCTTTGATTAATGGAATGAGGTCCTTTCAGCGTGAGACTTGGCCCGTTTCTCCAGCTTCTCAATTGCTGCGTTCTTAAATGATTAAAGCGATCGATTAGGCCCTCCCGAAGCCTCCAGACTAAAATCGGCCTCCATTCATCAGCCAGATACCCAGATATCATATTATTCGCACATGGTGGAGAGTCTGTGCCAAGCGGAGAGAGAGCGTTGGCGAGGCTGCTCACCCGAATGCATGGGCACGAGAGATTGAGGAAGAACAGAGCAATCTGTCTTCCGTCTACCTAGTTATGCAGGAGAGGAATCCCCTATCTCGGCTCACACTCTGCAGCCACAGTAATTACTCACCACTGTGTGTGTGTGTGTGTGTGTGTGAGTTTGCTCTGCCTTCAAGAAGCCACGGTCTGCCTCGTTATCAGAGCCAGCAGACTCTTTCGGACTGGGCCAAGGTGTCCGAAGTTCCCTTTCACCCAGGACCTCAGCCTAGTCATGAGTTCCCTCCCCTCCCCACTCCACTCCACTCCACGGGGAAGCTAGCACAGCCGCCCTGGAGCTGGAGGAATCAGTGCCTTGCTCAGGGTTCACTTTATAAGGGTGTGTACCTGCCACCATCAGGGCTTTCACAGAAGTCTTTAGGTTCGCCCTTTTTTAAGCTCCAGTAGCAATTTACATTCTTGCAGCCAGAGGGAGATTTTTTTTTTGTTGCCTTTTTAAAATAAGACAAGGAAAGAAGGCACAACACTGCAGACAATTGTGCTACTGATGACGTGGCCATTATGGCTGTCATTAAACATAAGAGACACAGAAACAGGGGATTGGCATTCAGTCATTTGTAGACTGAACTGAATGAATATTCTGTTTTCTTGTCCAAAACAGGGTTTTTTTGTACTTTGTAGAGAACCCAATCTAAAGATGTTTACAGTTCTTTGCTGTGAGATTCTGTAACTGTACAGTCTGTCATGGTCATGTAACGCCTCGGTGGCTCCCTTAGTTTTAGTCACTGAACATGAGTTCTTTTTTTAATGAGCCACACTAGCGGTGTGTCGGTCAGTCGGTCCGCCACTTTGGTCGCAATACTTTGTGTTTAGTAGGACTACTACTATTCATTGATGATTTGTTTGTTTTTTTACCTGTACAGAAATGACAAGTAGTAGCATACCTATTATACAGTTCATGCCTAAATGTCCAGAAACAAGAGTCTACAGCCAGCATGCTGATGTTTAGCAAGTATAATGTTTTATTTCTGCCCACAATACACTCTCTCACAGAGGACCTAACACATTGACATTAGCATCTCACACAAATCAAATATTTAATACTGCAACACACATCCAATAACGCTTTCATGCTCACAACGCACCCTTCTGATGTAGACCTTTACTTTGACCACCACCCCATGGCCAATTATTAATTACTTCACCACGAATGATAAATATATATTAAAAAACCACTGCTGTAGACTCTTGTTCTTGTGAGCATATGTGTACACGTTTCTTTCTGAGGCTCCCCAGTGATAGGCAGAAGTTGATCCAATCCAGACTTATTTCGAGCTAATGCTGCCGATTGTTCTCCTCTACAGAGCGAGTGTTGCTCCACTTTTGTTTTTGAAGGTAGCAATGTCATTTTTTCCTCAACTTTCATGAGCATATTTCATTTCATCCTCTCTTGGGACAAATAAAAAAAAAAATAAAATGGTAGCAAGTACTTTCTTTTTAACGCCATGCCAGGAGCAGGAGGAGAGAAAGCCTGTGCTTGCCAAGACAGTGTGTATTAGTGTGTGTGTGTGTTAACAGTGGCCTACATGCCTGTCACTGACTACCTTTTGCTACTCACACAACTAACTCTGTGTGTGTGTGTATTGGCTGTGTGTCAGCACTGCCGCATTGCAACTAGAATTAAACCCATTAGTGTGAACATGGTTTACACAAGCAGAGAAGGCACATTCCCATTTTAGGATTGATGTCTGCGACTGTTGTCTCTGTTAACATCGTCAGTCCCTAATCTCTCCTGTTCGTGGCCCCGTTTCAAAACAACAAGTACCAGTTCACCATACATCCTCTTGTTTACATGTGACTATCTGCCCAAACAATGTCTGCCTCGGTGTCATTAGAAGAAGCTCTGCTAGCGCCGCTGCTTCTCATCTCAAACCGTCCGCGCTCATCGTGGGGGTCGTCGGGGGGGCATAGGAGGTTAAAGGTCACCACTGCTGGATACACAGCGAAGGAGTATGGGAAAATGAGCAACGAACACGTTTCCCCAGGATTGTTTTGGAGAGGAACCAGCCGTGATTCGCGGCGGGCGGAGTGTTGTGTGTAATGCGGGTGACAAGGGAGCTTATTACATCTGCCAACGCAACAAAAAAAGAAAGGAGGGATATGTGTGTGTTTGGTGGGGGAGGTAAGAGAGATATGCAGGGAGGGAGGTGTGCGGAGACGCTGAGCAAGCGGGGTGAGCGTTTGACAGCGCAGCACGTTGCGTCTGGAAATGGTAAGTGTGTGTGTGTGTGTGTGTGTGTGTGTGTGGGGGGGGGGGGCATGAAATGTATCAGCAAAGACCGGCAGGCCCGGTGCCGCAGCCTCCAGCTGTCAGTCTTCTTACCTCAGCGCTGCTCCCATATGCGAGTGGGCGCATGCACATATTGCAGTCATACAAGCTCATTTAAGCAACTCACGCTGCAATTACATCTACCCCCCCCCCCCCTCTGCAACTACAAGAAGGTGTGTGATGACGCCTCACGCGTTCACACGGCCTCATTATGTGGCAGATATTTGATATCCTCTTTGTTCTCATGCAGTCTGTGTCGCCTCCACTCACGTGTCTGTCATCGTTCGGAAGGAAGACCTTATAAAAAGCTGCTTATTAAAGGCGGACTCCGCTTATTCCTGCAGATGTGACACCTGGTTCAAACAACCGGCGAAACAAGCCTCATTGTTTCCATTACGTGCTGTAATGTGTGTGTGTGTGTGTGTGTTTGTGTGTGTTTGTGTCTACCTGCCCACTCGTATGACTGTATTTGTCTGTTTGGCTCCCCACGTGCTATTTGTTAGCATGGTGCTAGCTGGTAATTAGCCCCGAAGGCCCTCCTCGTTGTCTGCCTGTTTGTTTACGAGGGAAGAAGTGGATTCCCTCCTGAGAGTCGGAGGCGTCACTCAGAAGTGTGTGCGCAGTAAGACAGAGCAGACGGTGTCAAGGGAAGAAGATTGGAAATTCCTGACTCCCTAGAATCAAACAGAAGTGTGTGTGTGTGTGTGTGTGTGGGGGGGGGTGTTGACATATTTATAAGGATCAAGGCACTGGGATCAAACCTAGTCGTGTCTCTCACTGAGTTTATCACTTACATCCAGACGGAACGATGTTTGTAGTAGAGCTGGACTGACTTGTAGGTTTTTAATTAGGGTTTTTTAATTAAGCTGCTCCCATTTTAGGCCGATATTGTACAAAATGTCCTCATTGACCTCTGTTGTTGTCTGACAGACGTGCTAAAACGTATAGCAATGGACATGAATGGAATTTTGTCAACGGATTTCTCTAAACGATATATTCAGAGCGTTAATGTAGCAGCGAACGACTATTATTTGTAACGTAAAGATGTGTCGCCCTGAGCAGAGAATGGAGTTGCCGTCCCTCTGTGTGTGTGTTGTAATCCGAGCTGTTTTGTGCTTTGTTTTGATAGTCGATCTGGCCTTTTAGTGCACGTTAGTGCCCCACTGGCGAGCTCATGGCAACCGCTCTGCACTGCTCTCAAACGGGGGCCGCTTATAGAATGGCGTCGTTGCCCACTCTGACAGGCCTTGCATCATATCACAGAAGGGAGACATCATCAAAATATTGTTCTGTATCCATCATATCATTGGCTATTTTTTTTATATTTAATTTAATACATCAGATTGGTTTTATTTCCTGAAATAAGGGAACACTTTCCTGTGACAGGCCAATTTACACAATGTACTCTTGTGTCCCATTGGCTAAATCTAGCTGTTCATCATTCATGTTGTGACTAGTTGTTTTTTATATGGTTGGACTATCTTCAAGCACACAGCAAGTCTTTTATCTTGGGATTCATTTTGAAAGGTTTGCACGTAGAACGTGTTAAATTCTCATCTACCTACATGTTAAGACGGGAGAAGAGAGCCAGTGTTGAGCGCATCAAACCTCCCTCCTGCCGCTCCACCAATCTGTCGAGAGCGTGTGTGTGACAGTGTGTGTCTGCGACTTTGTCAATAATCACCCACGAGGGCTCCCTTGCCACCCCGCTGATGGGGATTAAACATTCATGATCATGTTTATTAATGACCAGCAGGCATCAGGGATCTCCAAACTGTCACACACACACATATACAAATGCACACAATTTTCCTCTTTTTTTAAACCCCACACGCTCATGCACATTTGCACTTTCTCTCGTACGCCCACACAATCTTCCTCTCCTTCACGCCCTCTCTTTCACACACATCTTCCTATTATCCCACCCACACGTATCAGATATACAGACACGCACCCCCACACACTCACAGAAAGAAAAAAAAAACACACTCCTCCTATCTATGAAAACGCTATGGTATAGATTCATGAAACACACACTCCTGAATAAATCTGCCCATGTTTAATTTGACCATACGGTGTGAAACGTGTGTGTGTGTGTGTGTGTGTGTGTGTGTGTGTGTGTGTGTGTGTG